AGAACGTGACGTCAGGAAATGGCGGAAAGCAATGTGAAAGACTTTTGAAATGTTATACAATATAGGTCTGGGGTTTCAAAACACTCAAAATATTTTCTGTTGCAATTTGTTTGAGGTTTGGCTGTATTTTGAGCTAGAATGACTGGACTATCAGATGATTCTTCAAAATACTGCAAAAAAAAGAAGTGCGGCGTCCATTTTGTAACCAAGAACGCTGTTCATGCAGCTAGTGCGACAGTACTACGCATGCTCAGGATGCCTAAACCTTACACTCGGGTTTGCAAAACAAATACGGCCATTTATATCTCTAACAAATGACAATAAAGGTGTTGATAGGATGAACATTGCATAAAAAAACTTTTCAGATACACATAAAACATAACTTTCACAGTCATTTAAATAATCATAATCAATTAAGCAATATCATAATATCTTGTAAAACTAAAATAATAACTAAAATATTGGGAAAGAACTGTCTGCATATTTTGAAATTTGGTAGAGAACTGTCAGGGGATGAAATGGTTTGGGAAAGAACCGTCAGGATGGGGTGTTGACTGGTAAGGGAGAGAATAGTATGTCATTCGTTGAGAGGGCAGAGGGCATCGTCAGATGATTGAAGATCTACTGCAACGTGCAAGAGGGCAAAGATTGCGTGCTCTCTTTAGCGGCAGGACATAGGTTGTATGAAGTTAGCTGCCGGAGTTCTGACAAAATCTGAGGGGAGTCGCCCTAAAATATTGCAGGAACGACAAGAAAAGTGTGTTTAGGTTGCGTGAACCCCTAGCAGAAAGAGAGAGAGAGCGATTGCTTGAAAGGCAGGCCTTTTTTGTTTAAAAGCCCTTTACAGGGCTAACCCCTTTTCATATTGTCTAAGATTACTGTACATTTAGGTTCTCATTGGCCGTCGTATAGTGCCCTACTATTGACACAAACTTCGATTTTATTTTTGGCCAATACTCCGTGGAAATTGCATGGAGGTAAATTATCACCACTTAATGTTTCAAAATTATTAACTCTTTAAGAGCATGACTGGTAATATGTCCGGTGTCCTACTCGACAGCGAAAGCTGCTTTGTGTGCCTTAATGGTAGGATGGATTGTGAAAAATATAAGTTTGCTATTAATTGTTTGACTGGTGGTGAATATGAAATATACGGACCCAGTGACCCAAAACTCTATCCAAACTTAAAGGATGATGCATGTTCAAAGTTGAGCTAGAAATCATTACATTTTCTGGATATTTGGGATGGAAATATTACCTGTTACATGTAAACAATTTTTGCCAGGTTGCACAGGGGCAAACCCAGGTAAAAGTATGGTGAATGTCGGGCGACGGATCCCATAAAGTGGAATTCGATTTCAGCTCTGTCCCTCATCCACTTCCTGTTAACCAACTAAGTTAAATTTTCAACATTAATGGTCGATGGTAGGAAATTTTCGTAACAGAGTTCTCAGCGAATATTTATCACAGTCTGTCAACCTTGTTTATACGATAGCATCAGAAGGAATAAGTAGGGACATTGTTCATGGACAGTAGACAGCCTATTAGGTAAAATCCTTGTCTGATGAATAATTTAGAAGGAATAAGCCTTGTTTAATATAACCCAGATAGATCATTGCACCTGATTAGTAGATGACATTTAATAATTTAAAGGTCATTAGGTCAAAAATTATGGTCACAGTGACGCTAAATGTAAAATTATTGACCAGTCAATAAGTTGCATAAATGACACTTTTACAGGCTGGTGAAGTAGGGGCATTCTTGTACTATAGCACATTTCTAATAAATGAGGGAAATTCATATAAAAAGTGTAATCTGATTGGTAATTTATCTCGTGGCCATGACTTAGTAACTCGTGGCCACGACGTAGTATCTTATGGCCACGACTTGGCTATCTCTTGGCCACGACTTATGGTAACTCGTGGCCACGACATAATATCTCGTGGCCACGACTTAGCTATCTCGTGGCCACGACTTAGTAACTCGTGGCCATGACTTAGTGTCTCGTGTCCACGACTTAGCTATCTCGTGGCCACGACTTAGTAACTCGTGGCCACGACATATTATCTCGTGGCCACGACATAGCTATCTCGTGGCAACGACTTAGTAACTCGTGGCAACAACATAGTATCTCGTGGCCACGAGATAAATAAAAACACACACACATGTCACCTTTGTGCCACAGTAAGTAGTCCCATATCGTGCGATTCGATTTCAAGTCTGTTGCTTATCCACTTCCTGTTTACCAACTTAGTTAAATTTTCGACATTAATGGTCAATGGTAAAAACTTTTCGTAACATCATAGCCTCATGATATTTGGTATACAAATGCAACCCGGCCGTTTTTGTCTTTGACCCATTTTTTCAATAATTTGGTTTGTGTGGCATATATATAACATGTACCAACTACCAAAAGTTTAAGCATTGAATCTTCAGAAAAAACAAGATTTTTAAGATTTTACTATATATATGTACATTATAAAAGAATTCTATGACCCCGGGGCAAGGCCAATCTCGACCCAAGGGCTATAACTTTTACACTCTTGGTATACAATGTTTCATGCCAAACATCCCAGGAAAACTTCATCAAATTTGACCCAGTTGATACTATTTTTGTATCCACTGTGTTCAAGTGTCAATACTTTATGACTACAGTCACTATTATTTAACATCTACATACAAAACTTATGCACAAATTTGATTTTTTTATGTAACATTAATGTTTTTCTACTCTAGTCATGTTAACTAGTCAGTCTAGTTAATATACATTTAAGTTTGAACTCTGTATATAGTCAAGTGAGATAGTGATCCCATATTGTAACTTTAGTCATTGAAGTGTTCTGCTTATTGTGATGGTGTATAGATATGGATAGAGGCCAGTAAATGAATAACCACAGTTTATACTCAGTTTTATATTTATTTGATAATTTACATATTTCATAGCACTTATATATTCAAAATATGATCAGAGGACATTTATGAACAAAACACATAATAAGTTCATGTAAAGAAGGTGTTCTCTTTACTAAAATCATTCATACAAATATGAATGTGAAATACAGGTAAATATATCGATATATCGGTGTATCGTCGATGTTTGCAATCCGATATCGATATATCGACGACATGCCTTTGACTGAATCAATGACAGCTCTAGTTGTTTCTGAGAAGAAGTCGTTTATACTAAAAATGGACGACAGACGCACTGACGGACGATGAACGCCGACATATTGTGATCACAAATTCGGGTGAGCAAAACGCTAGAGATTTTTGTCAAACACTTATGCCCACCTTATTTCATTTAATCTGTTGATATCTGTAGTTGAAGAGTGACACAGTAGTGGCCCGAGTAATATGTTGGATGTGCATAGCAGGCATGGTATGTGTTTAACAAATTTAACGATAGATATATACATGATCTAAACATGAGCCCTGAGTATGCGTCTTAATAATTTGAATTTTCTAAGTTTAAGAGGCATAACTCTCTCAAAAATTGGTACATTGTACCCAAAACTGAACTTGACTTAGATATTCTTAATATACATGTATATGATAAATATGTACACTAAATTTCTTTTAAGAATGTGCAACCTCTGCAAAGGACATAAACAGAAACTGTCACGATTTGGAGGTTTTCTAAGTCAAAGGGGCATAACTCTGTCAAAAATGTCTCGATCGTACCCAAAACTTAAATTGATCTAGATATTCACATGATAAATCCGTATATCAAATATCCTTTCAGTATGTTCAAAATTTAAATATATGCAAACTGTTCGATGAAGATGAACGGAAACTGTTGGTAGACCGACACCAGCAAAGCAATATGTCTTCCCTTTTTAGTTGGGGCATAAAAAGGAAATTGCAACAGCCTCGGTTGGATTAAGCGTGTTCATGGACGCAGCAAGGCTTCCGTTCAAGTCTCCTAGCACCGGTTGCAGCTGAATTCAACGTTTAGGGAAATTGAAAAGGCGGTGGAATTTTGAATTTAGAAAGAAAGGAACAAAAAATAAAATGAATTATTGTCATTTTTTACATTAGACTGCATAATCTTGCATTCCAAATTGTATCATGTGCTTATGAGTGAAATATAAAGGAGTTTTTGATTCCTTTGTCTCTTTTATGTATACAATATGTTGCCTTGAAAGATAAGGTCACACTTAAAGGTCAAAATGACAGACAGTTTTGTATGAATAGTTTACTTCAAATTTGGCTCCAGTATTTGCTACCGGCACGTAAGTGTTGAAAATTAAATCGGTGGTAGGCGGAGTAATTTTGCACTTGTCTCTCGGGAACAGACCCTGCAATTCATAAGATATTGTTGTTTTACTACTTCCGAAAGATCATTCCTCTCGCAGATTTAAATACTTCAAAACAGCAGGTCCAAGTGCACCGTATGTGTTGAGTCACTGCTTCAGAGGGATCACCTCTTTTCCAAAATTCATTACTTTAAAAAGGCATATTGTACAGGACTCCGATATTAAGACCCAAAATCAAGAGCAGCGTTGAAGGTAAACATTCAAGCAAAGAATAATGTGTTATAAATGGCGGTCAGCTAGGATCTGCCGAGTTATTTAAGATTACACGTTAACAATTCAACAAACGTTAACAATTTCAGGTAAGATGCAAGTAGCAACATAAACAACAAAGGGAAGCGGTGGCCTAGTGTTTAAGGTGTCTGCCTCTCAACCCGGCGATCATGGGTTCAAGCCATACTCGGGTCACGACCATGTTTCTTCATATAACACTAGTACTTGGTGGTTTCAGGAATCGGACTCGAAATTGATTAATATAAGTTGCAAGAACTTGTTTCGTAATCGAGTTTAAATATATATGTTTAAACCAACTTAAATGACATATGAGTAATTGCTAATTCATATCTTGGAGTGGAAGGTTACAAACCAAACAACACCATCATTTCGTTTTTGTTAGTTTTTAAGAATATTTTGAGAAATGATATATAAGATGTTTCTTATCGCTGAAAATATAACAACAAAATGATGTATATTTGTATTTTTATTTGTAATAAGAATAGTTATAATTACAATATACTTTTACAGAAATAATCATTTGCAATATTTCATTGAAAGAAATTTGTTAAGTCATATGAAACACTATATCATGAAAATATTTTTAAACTCTGAAGTACTTGTATCTATTTGAATGCCTGACTTTCTCCCTTATAAAGTACAAACGAGATAAACAAATGCACCAAGATAACATTACGATAGCTCGAAACGTTAGAGGATAATAAATTTGTAAAATAGATAGTTAAAATTACGATAAAATGTTATTTATTTTGAAACAAGTACATGTCCATGTACTGAATTAGGTAATACTGAATTAAAGCTTCCACAATTGTGCTCTTCCGCATGTCCAGGACAGTTACTTAGGCAAATATGATCTTTAGCATTATCAAGCTAAATATCTTTAAATCGATTGATAATTGTTAGGGATATTTCCAAAATAAGTTCTGACAGAATAGCGAAAGTGCAGACCAGACAAGACGAATGTATCATCTGATCTTGGTATACACTGTAAATTTTAATTAATATATAGGTTGTAGTCTGTTTTAAACATAACCTTAATTATAATCGTCTGAACATCATTTTTGTTGATTGTAAACCTACATTGCTTTTGAAATCATAGTATACAATTCCTTTTTCACCGTTGTCTGATCCTGGTGTAAAATATTGCCCATTCAAGTTTACAACTGCACAAGTGTTATACCACCATCCACCACGATCTCTATATGCGCAATTACTGTTCGGCTTTTCATGATCATACGTAGAAAAGGGCATTCCATTGTGATAACTCAACCCATCGTTTGCATCACCTCAAAGAGCAAAAACAATTGTGTCACGTTTTTAGGTGGACGAAATGAGTTTTCTAAGTTTTACAATTCCATATAACCTTAACCAAATACGCATTATCAGCTTAGTACTTGGTTACAATGTAAGCAGAAATAATGTCATGTATGACAAGTTGACAGTTTTTATAATCTTTTGATAAATAAAGTAAATCTATGGACCCACGGGAGGTATAAATCTAGTATGTACACACTAATAAACTCTGACGTAACGATTAATTGCAACTTATCGGGATACATACTTTTCCCATATTTACATGTAACTCCTTTAAATAATTATGACACATACACAATAATTATAGGAACGATAATCAACAATTATACCGTTCGACGGGCATAGGGTGCATCAACATTAAGCTACATTTGATTTTATTAAACCAACTAACAAATGATAAATAAAATATTTCATACTGTCAATATTCATATTGTATAATTACAGTATACGATTCGAATAGACAATGCATAACGAGTTATAAACACAGCTGAAGTGAACATGTTGTAATAAATATGTTTTCAATGTAAATCTACCCGGCAACCTTCTTTTCCTCGTGATTTTCGCAATATTGAACAATTTAACGTTCTTGATGCATTCATATTTTGACATTTCTCTTAATTTCGTTATATATGGTCATGTTAAAGTATTCATTCAAAATGCCAATACTTAAGCATTAGGACAATAAGCACAATAACTTTTTTTATAAATATCTTATATACACATGTACATAAACTCGTATAGTTTAGAAGTTCTTTATTTGCAAGTTATATGTGCAGTTTTCTGATTCTCTTGTATCTGTTCAAGACATAAAGGTGTGCTTCTAAAATTTATATATCGGGCACAGAACGTCAGTGCTTAGTGAACTTATGTTGAAATATCTTTGTATTTTGTAACATACTATTTGCTAAAATAATAAAAAATTCTTTAATTACAAGAAAATGGTTACGGTGGTAGGTGTATTTCTTTTGTTACCTGCACTTCCAGTTCCTGCGTTTATATGGAGTTCATATCCTGGATGTGTACCAATATGAAAGTTTTTAAAGATTTCGTAAGCATATGTATTGTCTGCTGCTGTCAATTCTATTCTAAGTTCAGTAGGTCCTTGTGCAGTCATTTCCTCTAAAAACCTTAGTCCTTAAATGAAAATTTAAATGCATTAAATGTTTTACTTCATTATCTTTCATAAATTGCAAAACTTCGTAATGTGGATTTGTTAATGCGCCCGATATTTCTGTTTAGAATTTCATCTTTCTCTTTCTGTTTAGGCTTTTAACACCCATGATTGCAGATAAGCATACTTAATTACTTATACTTATGAGATATTTTAGAATTTTTCAATTATAACACGAGTTTTTTTCTCCTTTATTCTAAAGTGTTCTTGGGAGATCTTTAAACTGGCTGGTAGGATAAACCAAGGTAACGGAACACATGATTTTTCAGTTGAAAATGATCAAACATCTAGAAAAAGTTTTCACCTAGCCAAAATTCTCCTGTATAATTTCCAAATCCGTCAATATATTCTATGAATATTCTGGTGAAATTGACTGAACCGTCAAAACGATTTTGAAAAACCTGCAAGAGAAACAATAGATTTCTTATAGAAATAGAAAGCGTTTCCAAAACCATAACGGAATATGCCTCTGTATTGAATGAAAGTTGTCTCTACTGATGCCCAAAAGGTTTATATTCATGCGTCACTTTTCAAAACATCAGTGCAACTGACTAATATATATATATAAACAAAACCATCAAGTAATTAACAAATGTATAACAGATGTATAAGGAAATACGTTAAAACTGAACTTTGGAATTCATACAATTTGGTGATAACATTTTAATACACAAGGACATACTATTCAGTATTTCTCTTTAAACCTTTTGATAAAATTACAAAATACCTTGGAAAAGACTTTTAAAACTAAATTCCTGGATAATTTATCACCAAATTAATTAATAAAACGTAATTTGTATATACAGGTATCTAATTCAGCTTTACTCGCGTTTTTTCTTGATATTTGCATGCCTTCTTCACTAGTTAAATGCATCAAATTGATCACGTCTATAATCACTACACCAAACACCTTGTTACGTGTAAAAGCCGTCGCTATTGACGTCAAGTGACACAAAAACATTTCCCTGTTTATTATTTATTTATGTACCTGAAGAAGGCTGTTCAGTCGGAACGTTGATACATTAAAGGTAATTTTATGAATTTGCATTTGACTACTTATTTCTTACTAGATTTACACTTTAAAAAAAAAGTTAACAGAAATTACAGTAATGTTTGATAAAGTTTCCTTTTTCACAATGAACAAATTACTATTTAAATTATTGTACTGCTAATAGCTAAAACGTTTATGCGTGAACATAATTCTAGTGTATTAAATTTTATTGATACCAATGGTAAGGTAAGATTGAAAAAAGTTCAATGTGACATATCTTATCAAACGAAATATTTTGTTTTCCGATTACTAAGGACTACTAAATTGTGAAGATTGCTTGACTAAACAGGCCCAATGTTTCATTTATAGAAATGAAGTAATATTCACAAACCGTCCATCCACCTAAGTCTGTAGCCATGTCACAGTATATTTCTTTCACCACTTTAGATCTCCAAAGTGTTACATTGTACACCCCATTCGAATTCACTTTCCCTATATTTCTATGCAGAATATCGTAGCAGTCCGTTGCATTAGCTTGAATAGCAAATGTAATCATTTATGCAAAAATATAAATAAACTGCACTGTTAATTCTATATGGCCACTTTCAAGTTTTAGTGGCGGAGGAAGACCTGAGATGTCCCTCCTGATTTTTTCAGGCTTGAACAGGTGCATGTACCTGAATAAAACCACCGACCATTAGCTATCTTTCTAATATGAAATAGTCCAGTTGCTAATGACAGTAATAAAGGACAGTGGATTAAGTCTGCGACCTTAGTCGCATGGATACAAAGAACTTTCATCACATCCTATAATGTAGTTGTTCAATTGGTGGAAAAAAACATATATTATAACTCGCTTTTCTGTCAAGTGTTCTGACTCAAAATAGGCAAACAAATAAGATTACACTTATCCAACTGTTACGGCATGTTATGCAATCCCAAGAAACTACTTGATCAACTCAAGGTTTAATTTATATGCTCTTGAAAATCTCCTATTGACATTCCATTTAATTTAATTCTGAAACAATTATTTGTGACTCCAATTCCTTCTTTTCCCGCTCTTGTATCCGCTCTCTAATTGCCTACCAGTTTGGTTGGGTTGCGTCTGGGGCTGAGTTTTGTAAACATCGTATTGTCTTATTGATATCTTTATTCTATTTGTAAGTATACATTTTCTAAATTAAATAACTAACTTACTGACATCACAGTTCTTCCCAAGATATCCTTCACTGCAGCTGCATGTATAGTCTATATTTCCAGATAAGCATGTACCATGTATGCACGGATTTGATTTGCAGTAATAATTGGCTTAAGCACAAAATTACACACAAGATTAAACAAAAATGTACAGACTTGCTTTGTTTGAACATGCTTTTCACAAATTCAGATACAAAGTATGTAATCAGAACAGTGATATAAATTACAGATAATTTTAAGGATATGTTATCATTTGTAAGTTTTATATGTTATTTTATGTCAACTATAAAAATAGAAGTTTAAATCACACACTTGCTTTTTGTTAAAACCCACTCTTATAAGATTAATGAAAGAACACCGATATGAAATGTAAATACGATAATGTAAACTTACATATATTGCACTGATTTCCACCAAAGCCATCTTCACAAGAACAATAATAGCCGGTTTTGCTTGCAAAACATTGACCATGTTGACAGGGGTTAGACTTGCATGGTGAACTTGCTGAATATAATTTTGACGAATTGGTGTATTTTATGTAAATAAGGATAAATAAGGATCGTGCAAATCGTTAGTGTATGTTACTTAGTAACAATGATACTAATGAAAGGTTGGCCCAGAACGATATGTAAAATAAACTTCTGTGAGTTTAAACTTATGCGGACAGAAAAAAAAGAGAAAAGAAGCAACAGTTAGGCTTTTTTCAGCAACTGAAGACAAGCGCAATAATCCTGTTGTGAATTACAGTTTGCTATGTGCTCAGTTTCAACGTTTATTGAAGAATATGCATGACTTTTATGTGCGTCAATTTGTATCAAGCTGTTATCAAACCTTTTTCAGAGTTAAGTATTTATTTATTTTGTCTATCATGAACTTAATGATTCCAGTTTTATCAATTATACATTTATATTCCAAAGTTGTACCATTTTCTTTTTCCGAATATCATTAGTTAATGTGAAACCTTGAAAGTTAAGCAATACTCACAAATGTTACAATGCCTTCCTTCAAATCCATGATAACAGTTACAAGTGTAATCATTTAACATGTCAACACAAGTGCCATTGATGCATGGGTCAGGTTGGCAATGACTAATAGCTACAAAATAAATGACCCTCGTAGGTTATCAAGAGACGACTTAACATGTAAATAATGCCAATCTTTTTAAATTTTACATCGTTCTTCTTTACTCACGTTGTTTCTTAAACAGAAATGAAGGGGTTTTTTGTTCTATATTGAATGAATATTTTTATTTGCATTGTTTCAATTTTAGTTTAAAAAGGTAAAAAATGTTATGTTAAATAATCATAAAACAAGTCTGGTAAAAATCAATGTACAGACTTTCGACAACAAAAAATAAAAACATTGTATAAAAATTTAAGTATTTTGGATTTATTTAAAATATAACATTCTTTAAATGGAACCGGAAAATTGACATTTCGCTAAATATTAAGTTAAACTGCCATTGTCATGGCGTGAATACTCCCGCATACCGCTTTGTCAGAATCAAAGTCATTAAGAGCACAAGGACAACCTTGCTGCCAAATACGAGCGTAATAAGCTAGTGTATTGCATATATATGTATTCTACATATTTTAAGCCGCAATGATCAAAGTGACCTTTACCTTTGATCTACTGACATCAAAACTGAAACTGCCATTGCATGACATGGATATCCCCATTCATGCACTTTGCCTTGGGTGTTTATGATGAATATATGAGAACAATATTATATCCTTCAAATGTGACCTTGATATTTGACGTCAAAATCAATACATTGTAAACAGGCATTATTAAGCAGTTGAGAAGACAAATTTATTGTAGTAGAAGCCCCCCCTGACCTTGATATTTTACACAGTCACCTAAAAATCAAGAAGGGTCATCTTCTAGTCATAACCAACCTCAATACCAAATATAAAGACCGTTGACCAAAGTATTCTTAAGCAATTCAGCGGAAAGCTTTTGAAGGCCTCTGTGACCTTGACATTTTACCCAGTGACCTCAAAATTTAAAAGGGTCACCAAATGGTCATGATCAAACTCCATACCAAATATGAAGATCATGGGTCAAAGGAATCTTAAGTTATAGGGCAGATAAGATTTCTGAAGTCCCCTGACCAAGTGTGACCTTGACCATTTGACACAGTGACCCCAATAGGGATCAGCTAATAGTCATAACTGATTTCTATGCCCCTGTGACATTGACCTTTGACCAAGTGACCTCGAAATCACTAGGGATCATCTAAAAATCATGACTATCTTCCATACTAAATATGAAGACTGTGGGATTCTCAAGTTATTCGGCGTACAAACCTTTTTAGTCAAGGCCCCAGTGACCTTGACCTTTGACCTAGTAACCTCAACATCAATAAGGGTCATCTTCCAATCATGACCAATTTCATTATCAAATATGAACACTGTGCGCGAAAGGAGTATTAAGTAATTAGGCGGACAAGGGAAATCCGACGGACGGCCGGACGGACAAGCATACCCCGTTACAATTTTGTTATGCGAGGGTATGAATATACATTTATTTGTAAACATAATGCAGTTATCAGTAAAGCAGTTAATTGTAAAATCTCATTAGAAAAAAACTTAATGACTTAACAAAATCATTCAAAGAATGAATTGGTTTAAAAAAAAATCTATAAATTTCACTATCCCACTATATGAAAACGTTATGATGTACCAAAAATATCATGGAGAAGAAAATAATATCTATACATACAAATATTGCAGTAACGACCCTCATAACCATGGTCACAGGAACAAAGGAAATCATGAAGAATTTCAAAACATTGACCATGTACGCACTGGTTAGTCGCACAATGTTTCGTTCCTGTATAAAAACAAAATTGTACGTCTTACTTGAAACTATTTAAGCATAAGTTTTTCTTCAGTTACCAACTGCTAACCAAATTGTTCTCACAAATAGGTATTTCTCTTAAAAATGTTCATGAAAATGAAAAGAACATTCCTAATTGTAATATTTGTTTTTTTACTCAAACAGTGTAATGAAAAACATGGCAGCAGAGGACGATAGCAATGTTTCAAATATCATTACAGTTTAACTTGTCTACGCTTGCACAATTCGACATATTTATCACAACAAATAAAATATTTCAGACATAAAGGTTTAAATACATTTTCTCAATACCATTGCCCTAGTTCATTAAAACAACACATCTATCTATCTTTTATTTTATAAATTATCTACTAGTATTTGTCACATTTGTTACCACAATTATTATTAGCACACGATTCAACTTTGTCATTTGATCCTCTGCAGTATTGTCCATATGATGAGGGCGGAGGATTCGAACATGACCTCGTTTGTGATCTAATTCCTCCGCCACAGGTGACACTACATGCACTCCATGACGTCCAGTCACCCCAACCACCGTCTGTAAGATTTTTGTATAAAAAAGAAGAACAACATTATTTTATTATATGTACGTGTAAGATTTTTGTAACTTCTGTGTGTCTGCATATTTCAGTATGGACAGTTTATTAGCATTTTTAAAATAATAGGAAAAAAACAACAACATTTCGATGAAGCTGCATTAATGTTACAATTTTCAATATATTAAATTAAAATTCGTGCATGTAGTCAAACTCTTCGATCAATAACGACCTGTTTTGATTTTCCAATTGTTTAAAGCAGCTAGTCCTTCTTTAGTATCGTTTGTTATTTTTATTATTTTCATTTAAAGAACCAAACAGTTTATGTTTCGGTGTAGCAAAGCACTTGGATATGCCGTTTTATAGCATATATTTTTAGATTTGTCATTAGATACACACTTGCACATGGAGCTGGCATACACAGCTGTGATTCAATGTTAACGCCGAAACAATGATTTCCAGCCAGACTTGGTGGTGGATTAGAACAAGTCCTTGTACGACGTTGCAAGCCCATGTCACATGTTACTGAGCACGTGCCCCAATGTGACCAATCACTCCATCCACCATGAACTGTAAAATCAAGCAACACAAATAGAATAAATATAATGATTTAATATCTTTCCGATTCTCAAAGCAATGAGCAATTTTGTTTGTATGTTAAAAGTATTTTATTTATATAGTTTTTATGTGGCAGTTTTCCGAATTTGTGCTAAAACAGGTCATGAAAAGTGAAGAAGTTCTGGACCTGGACACTGTTGTTTGTGGCATCCTTTCATATCACTTCCACTTCCTACACAGTCAAAACCGCCATTCTTAGGTGCTGGATTTGTGCAGGTCCTGGTTCGAGTTTGGTGTCCGTTTTCACAGGTTACGTCACATGTGCTCCAAGATGACCATAAAGACCAGTTGCCGTCAACTGTATATGAACATTAGCAAAAGTGAAACATTTCTACCCAGCTACAGTATTACAATAAAGAATTTTCGACACTTAATTAACCAATCAAACTGAAGCGCATAAAATATCAAGAGGTATAATTGAATAACTTAGTATGTTTTTTGGTCATTTGCCAGTTTTTATATCTTCATATTGCAGGGCCTGTTCTTTACTAAACTGTATAATGATTAACGATATACCTTTTGCAATTTCGAAGCTCGAAATGTATAATTGTTTGATGTTAAGCAACGTACGAGTATTGATCAAAAAGTTCTTTGCCCCATGTACTTCTAGTAGTCAGAGAACCCATAAATGGTCTTACTTTTCAATATAATCTCCCTCTTCATCAATTCACTTTGCCCACCTGTGCTCCAACTTGTTAAACCCTTCAAAATAGAACTCTCTATTTTCGTCCTCAAAGAACTCATTGACCGCCTCCATAACACCTTCATTGTTTTCAGTTTCGGAAACAGGTAGAAGTCAGAGGGGGTTAAGCCCGGAGAATATAGGGGATGGGGAAGAATTTCAATGCCGCAGTCAGTTGAAGCAGCAATCGCAACTTTGGATGTGTGTGCTGGCACATTGCCTTGCAGCAGCAGAACGCCTTGAGTCAGTTTGTCCCTCCTTTTACGCGCGATTTCTTAATGCAGACTTCTCCAAGTCTGCATAGAACGTAATGTATATCGTACGACCTTGCTCAACAAAATCAATCCTGAATATCACCTTACTACCCCCAAAAATTAAAGCCACCATCTTCCCTGCTGATGGCAACCTTTTGAATTTCTTCGGAGGAGTTGAGACTTGGTGCTACCACTGCATGTTTTGTTGTTTTTTTATTCTGGATCAAAGTGATGGACCCATGTTTCATCCCGAGTTAAGATCCGGTAGATAAAATTAGGTTCACCCTCGAGATATCTTGAAATATTAAGCCTGGTCCGTTTCTGGTCGACAGTCAAATGTCTGTGGACCAATCAAGTTGAAACCTTTGACATGCCATATACATCAGTCAGAATTGCCTGAACTGAACCAAAGCTTACTAGTATACCCACTTCCCTAGCAATGCTTCGCAGGTTTCGCCAAAGGAACGGGACTCCTTCCCGAATGTATCCATTAAGTCGTCATGGATTTTTTTTGGGACATTTCTTTCTTGCAGAGGTACCAAATGACGGCTCTGATTTCAATTTTCTCCATTTGGTCTAAATGACACACCCCTTTACCTATCAAAGTGTAATTTATGTTACTTAATCTGTGAAAAATCGCGTGTAGCGTTGTCAGTAATCTTCAATAAGATATCGGTATCGACGTATTGTTTGTAAATGTCTGTGCAGTGGCTAGAAGTATATAAGGCCGAGAACTTTTTAATCTTACGTCATATCTTATGATTTCCCGTTGAAATCGTACATTTGATAGGAAATTTGCAAATCAAAAACAAACATAATTATTCCCTCCAGAAATAAGAAGCTTATAACCTGGATAAATAGTCATGCTACTGAATACTAATACTTATATTTTTCAAATAAATCATTAAAACAAAATTTCTATATTTTTATTACAACTGTATAACATCAAACGAATAACTGATAAAGTCAGATCAATAACATGTATTTAAAAGTAGGACAAAACGAGTCATACCGACGTTACAGAGTCCGCAAAAGCTTGGGCATACATTTCGTGCGTGCGGAATATCACTACATATACTGAATAATGAGTTCATTCTTGCACAATCCACAGATTCATCATCCATACAAACTTTCGCTAAAGCATTACATACAAATTTATCAAAAATTGTACCACTTTATTAACAGTTGTCCCTCAGTAGTGGACCGAAAAAATGTCCGATCTTCTGAAAGGCTATAGTTTGTTATATATTTAGAAACATTGTTTCAAAATAATGGGTGTTTTTTTAAGATCAATAGAAACATTAAAGGTCATTGATCTACGTTAATTACATAATTTGATATTGATTTAGATGAATTGTGTATACTAGTCAAAAACACCACTGTCTCTAATTTTGCAAAATCTAAATATATTTTAATGTATTTAAACTAAGACAATGTTGACAACCGATTTATTTCCTTGTTATGGTTGATCGGTACAATTATAATATTTGTTCAAGTTCTTTTTTTAACACAAGCTTAGAATATCATCATTGTCTTGCAGTACCTAAATCAACCAAACATTGAAAAGATTAACCAATGCTTATCGACGATATTTTGAAATGTTGTATACACCCGGGTATTTAAGTTTCAATCAATTTGCTTAGGCTAAGGTATGAACATTCTTACTGTCGGTATTATGACAAAGAGCGATGTTACAACGATCAGTGGAGCAACATTCATAACACGTTGATGCTTTCCTAGAAACAACACTTCGTCCAACTATTGTAGAAACTGCAGAATGTGAATCACATCTCTATAAAATATTTTAAACGCAAACACGAATTTAAGAGTTCAAATCAGTAGGACACATTGAGTAATTCGAGGGCTTTCGCAAAAGTCCGTGACAAATTGTGTTTTTTATTGTTTTGCCAATAGGCAGTATTCACATATATTATCCATAGATTTATCATTTTACAAGTTTAAATGTTAAGACTTTGCAGGAGACAGAAATATAAAAAAAGATAAAAAAAGACCGATAACTTTCCATTTACCTATTTCCTACAGCTAAAGAAAGGATATGTTCGTATGTGGTGAGAAATAAAATAATGCATGCCACCCAGTCGTTTAACATTGGCTAACAACAGTATTTTCAAAGACAGTTTTATCGATCCACGGGTACATCGGTATCGTAAATTCTGTAAATTCTCTGACTATATGCTAAAGAGATTTGAAAAAGAAGCGTAATGTTGATATGACGTCTTTTTAACGTTTGACGTAAGTCATATTCGTCAGTAAATTAATCATATCATAAACACTGATTATATTATTGGGAAATAAAAAAATATATATTAAGGATAGAATTTTCTTAAGAAGGAGTTTATGATCGTTTTGTAACTCTTTGCTTAAAAAGAAACATTTACCTGATTGTAAACGCACCCCAGGTTTTGCTCTCCTAGTGTCACATTGCGGTAGCATGACTAGAAAATTAATGTAATTTGTAATCTATATTCATTTAGATAAAAAAGAAATTGAACTGCTAAAAAACCTTGAAGGTATTCAATAATAACCTAGAGCAAAAATTTATCTTAAAAATGTTTTCAGTAAATAGTAAAATGTTTCCTTACTCGTAAAATAAACATCATGTATTGTTTGCTTTTTGAATAAAAAGAAACACTATATAATTACCTAGTCCATGCACTCAGCAGAAAATTGCCTCAAAATGGGAACGTTTAACTTACAAAACTAACAAAGAATTGCTCTCAACATACGGTTTATTATTATGAATATAACGATACAAAGTAAGCAACTATGTTACTTATGACCGGAACAGTGAATGCAGTTTTCCCTTGGTATTTGTTTAACTTGATAAATAACTTAATATTATATTTGGACTCTTTTTATTGTTTTGAAATTTTGATGAATTCTCTATATTGTCCGTTTCTTTTTCCACAATAACATTCCGTAAATGATAATTTAGTGGTCTAAAAGCGCAGAAGTTGTTTTCCTATTTTTGGCATTTGAATCACTTATTAAACGTGTAAATGTTCAGCAGAATGCACAGTTAAACTTTAATTTATCCACTAACGATTGATTGACATAGTTTAATTCCACCTCGAGTCGAGGTCAATGTCAATTTCTTTTGGCTGTCATGTGACTGCCTCTATACTAATCGCAACACGGAGAAGAATGTAAGTCAAATAATGATACAAATTACCGCATTGAACAATGCCACAGGGTACGATATTTTAAATTATAAAAGTTGCAAACTTTGGGCCATAGAATTATTGTAAAAAATAAAACATTCATATTCCTCTTTACCTGACCTACTTGACACGACCTTGTGACATTGCATCCATCTATGTTGACAACGTTTGAACAGCTGTAACAGTCAAGTGATTCTGAAAGTGTGTATAAATACGATGAATACCAGTACGTATTTAAGGTATAAATACATATAAATTATATATAATAATGATGTAAATTTTATTATTCTTATTACATGTACAACATAATATCTTTCTTTATACAGAGTGATGAGCCATTAAAAGCATGAAAAACATTAACTGCATGTTAATTGGAAACATAATTTTAAACAAGTGCAATAGCAGTTACAAACCTGAAGAAGAGACAAAGGCTATCAAAACCAATATACAAAGTGCGTCTTCTGAAATAATACGCAATACATATCATCAACAATAATTGTTCAAATCGTACAGTATAAAATCAAAATGCATCAAAGCCTCATAAACATTATAATTATGCCCAAAATCATCAAAGTATTCCCGGTTGTTGTAGGATGCATAGACCCCTAACCTGTTTCATCCTAAACATCAGATTATTGGATACAATAAATAATTTCACCACAACATGTTTGTTTACAAAAAAAGCACTTGTCAATGTTTTAAGTTAAATTTATTGTTAATCACATGAAAAATGGGTTTTGCTTAACATTTCAGCTTTCATACTGCATTTGATCGTTACGTTTAACTGCCTTTTTCATCACGCTTACGTATTTACCATAAGTATTTGTATATCTTTTAACTCTAGTTGACAGTTGTATTATATATCTGTAGGTGTGACATATTTTGCATACATTTTTACAATAATTATATTATGTATTATTATTACATATCAGATTTCTTTTGCCGCCATATGGCGTTATGTTGTTTATTTAATTTTATGGCCGTTGTATTCTAATGCAGCCACTGTATTTAGTGAAACGCTTAAATAAATGTCAAAGATAAAATAAGTAGAACTTTCTATGTTTGTTATTTTCACAAAAGGATTCATTTAGACTTAAAGTAATCTATATTCACATCGATTGAGGATTTACTCTTTTTTAACAACAATAAACTAGAAAATAAAAAAAGAACATATCATTAT